CAGGTCAGAGTGCCAGGGTTTAAAATGTGCTAATAAGTAGGCTGAACAATAATTATTATCAGAAGGTACTGAATCTGTCAGGGTCAAACTGAAAACCATTAAAAAAGTCCCATTAAATGATTACACATTCTACGTTGTTTGGCTTATTGTGCTGCATGTGTCATCCAAAGCAATTTTCCATGTCTTCTATATTTTCAGTAGTGGCTTTGAAGATCACACAGAAAACACATTGAGTGAGGTTATCAATAGCTGTACACTGTAATTCCTACTGAAATGTAAACAATAAAATCGAAGGGTAACACTTAACTTTCAGGGGTTATCACTTATGTCACTAGGATAGAGCGGTTTTCACTTGACTGTCGAAAGGGATTGGTTTTGGTTTTGGTTTTGGTTTTACTACGCCCTTTGGTTGACTAGTGTATTTACTTTGGTTTTGGTTTTACGACAGTCAAGTGAAAACCGCTCTATTACTGTTTTAGGTCAATTCTGTGATGAAGTCACATATTACAAAAACTGCTCCTGTAGAGTTATGAAGAAGATATTAAACAAATAATATCATCCGAAAGCACTATCCATAACATTTTTTAACTCGTGGGTACGCGCGAGCGTACCACGAGTTATTGCAGGGACAGGGATATGCAAATGAGTCACTCGCTCACTCGTAGTAGACGCTCTTCGTAATTAATCGGGTCCGAACTCGAGAGCGCGAAGATCTATCGTTTCCAAAGAAGCACGTGCTAGCCAACGTTCGGTGGCACCAAATTCCTCGCTGAGAGCGTGCATCGTGCGCTACGGCACGGTTACAGAATAGAGGTCTTACCAAGTCTAAGACACACAGGAATCTTTCAGATAAGTACGATTCAAGAGCCTTTGACTCGTCCAGGCGTTAAACTTGACGAGAAGATGAGTATTTGCTCTTCGACTCCTTCAACTTCGACGCTGGCTTGATCTCCTACCTTGTAGTGATGTAGTAGGTTATGTGTATGAATGAATTTATGGTAAATAAAGGCACTTCTTCTTCTTCTTCTTCTTTATAAGGACTCCGCAAGATCACGGGGGGAAATGGACGTGATTTTGAGCATTAGCTTTAAAATAACAGCGGAAACCGAGATAAGAAAACATAAGCTTAATATGTTTTGAGTCCTACTTCGCGGAGGAGTTGTGTCGGCTTTGTATCGCATATGTTCTTTCATTGCCATGAAATGTGTTTCCATTGTTTTTTACTGTCAGTAGCCTGGTTTCAATTAGCCTTAATTTCATCCGATTGCTTCGAGTCGTTTTTTCAATCGGTTAAGTATCAGGGGCACCCAACGAGGATATAGTTCAAAACCACTTAACATAGCATTGTTGGACGTATTTTAGTATTCAAACGGTAGATATAGGCATATTTTTATACCCTAAAAACTTTTCATCTGTTCGGATTTCCTAGCTGAAAGTCTAGTGATCCGAAAATTATAGGGATAAAAACTTACCTTCTCGAAAATTTCAGCCAGGAAAAGGCTCCCGAAAATTCTAGGTGGCCTTTTTTAGGGCAAAAATCCGTTAAAAATGAGTAATTATAACATTTTGTAGATGTTCGAAAATCCTAGGAGAGGCAGGCAAGCAAGAAATTTTACAACAAATGCTCCGAAAATTCTAGATCTCAAATCGTCTTCCGAACAGATATTTTCCCGAAAATTGCCGTTGGGTGCCCCTGAAGTATGGCACGATCGTTTGCCGGTGGAAGTTCCATGGAAAAGACATTAAATTTGAGACTTTTCACCAAATCACATGATCATCCTCAATGGCGTAGTGGCTATGTGAGGTCGGGTCAATAACGACCTTCTTTTTCCCTTCTTCCTTTTTTTTTTCTTTTTTGTTTTGTTTTGTTTGCTTATTTGTTTTGCTGTTTTTTTTTTTGCGGTTTTTAAATATATACCTAAATAACTGTTAATAAAGTGCAATAAACAGCAAGAAAAGTATTGTGTTTCCAGAACAAGGATAGTATATTTCTATCATTTTCTAAAATTTACTGTGGGAAAACCAGAGGCGATAACTAATTGATTATTTTCTAAACAATGTACCCACGAGTTGATGATAGTCTTTCTTTGATTGGTTATTTTGCCAGGCATAGCATAACAACTTGAAAAAGGGTTGGCCCAATTATTTCAAGTCACAATCCATGTCTATCCTTGGCATCTTTTGCAACAGACGACAGGAAACAGTTTCAATGCCTAAATATAGTCTAAAAAACTGGGCTATTTTTCTTGTGATGCAATTGATACAAAGACACATTTTAGCTTTTCAAAAATATAACAAATAGCCTGACATAGTCCCTTAAAGCACAATATGATTATCCTTATATAAATTGCTTAATGTGTAGTTCCAGAAAATATCCATACTCCCCCCACGGAAGGGATTGGGAATTCCTTGAGGGCGGGGGGTTCTCAAAGGCCCAAACATTTCAGTAAATGTATGAAGCTTGACTGGAATTTCCAGAGGGGTGGGGGATCTAAGGAAAAATCCCTTCCGTGGGGGAGGAATGGATATTTTTTGGAACCACACAATCCTTCTCTTCACCTACCTCATTTTTCATGCCACAGCAAGCTCAACTCATTGCATTAAGGAAACACTATCAGATTGTGACAACTGTTCAATATCTTGAACAAGAAAGGTCTGATCTGTTAACTTGAATACAACCACTGCCAGTGACGCACCATCTTTAGCATTTGAGGGTAATACTGACAGCTCCAATAGCTCATTTTCCTTCTTTTGGATTAGAAGAAAACATTGTATCCACCGTTCATGAAACGACTGTCTTGGAACAGACTTGGTGCCATTTGGAACTTTGGTTGACATGACCAGCATACCAGATGGTTCGTTAGAGGGTTGAGTACTACAATGAAACCATATCAATTTCTTCAGGCCCCAGTTTTTCAAACATTGGATGATGCTATCTAGTGAATAAATCTCTATCCAGTGGATAGTGTGATAATATTCAGGAATATTGGTTTTCCCAATTCATATCCACTGCATAGTGATTCTCAGGTGGATGGCCCACCAGGTATGAAAACAGAATGGGTGTTAAATGCTACATCAAAAAACAGGTGTGGAAAATGTCATTTTTTGGTCTGAAACAGGGTCAGGATTTAGAGAAACCGGCGGTACACCCCCTCCAAGAATTCCCAGGACTACCCCCTCTCCCCAGGGGCATTTACTTACACGTGTTTTGATCTTTGAAAGACAAAGGCATCGACTGTCAATGCAAACAGCTTAGCAACAGATGACAAATCCTCATTCCTGATTGTCGCAGGAAGATAAGCACTAAGGTCATCCACAATTATCGAGCTAAACTTTCGAGATGTGGAGAAATGAATTGACGCCATATAATTCGAATAGTCCTCTTTTGTTTCCAAGTATACCATTTGTATAAACCTCAGCGTTTCACTTGAAGGCTGAGTTCTTCCATTAGCAAGCAGTGGAAGTTTAGAAAGCTTTTTAGGACATATGTAAAGCACATGTTTTTCTTCCTCTGCGAAGCTCAGCGCAAGCTGGAAAAGAAGTGATGTCTTCCCGCTCGCGGGAGGCCCGCACAGCATTATTCTGTCAAACCCGGGGGACTTTCTTGAATCAAAAAGAAAAGATGTACAGCATTCTTGCGCTTTTCCTGGGATTTCACCGTCAGAAGGTTGGCTAACACCTAGCAAACGAGACAACATCTTTGTTTTTGGGGGGAAGCTGGCGAAAAACAACCTTCAGCAGGCGACCATTGGAAACTGAGCAAAGTACTGGGTACTAGGTAGGATTTGCTAGGACATAAAACTTAGCCTTACATGACATGGAGACCAGAATCTAGTCTGGTTCATTGCTAATTTTCTCATTTCGTATTTAAGAAAAGACAAAGCAAAAAAACAGCATTTCCGAAAATTCTTTGGACAGGGAATTCTTACATTGCAAAAACATTTCCTACTTTCCAGTCATAGAAAAATTTTCCAAAGCTGTTCATAAGCCAGCCGAGCAAATAATTCGGGGCCTGGCGCACAGCTCTGTGGGTATCACGTGTTTCTTTTGACTGTATCTTCTCTCTCTTTGCACGACACGTCTTCAAGATGGCTGCCGCACGAGGTAAGCGAAATAATTCTTGGAAAAAGGGTATTTCTATCGAGTAACTGAGAATTTAATCGTAGTTGAGATGCACAAAAGATGGAAGATAATTCCTCCATGTAGCGTGTGTTGATAAAATAGTGCATAGTCAAAATCTTTCCCAGCCTCCGTACAGCTTATTGTAAGCTTATTATGTACATGTGCCAGGCATTTAGCTAAAGCAATAAGATTTTAAATACTAGATGGTGACGTTTTTTATCGTTAACCCTGCTTGAGTGTTCTGGTGTTATACATTTTAGAGCAGTTCATCATTTCTATCTTTTGATGAAATGATGTGCATGCATTTTCAACTCTCTTTGTTTTTCAATGTTTGGCTACTCTTTCGCACTACTTGAAATAAATTTGTTCAAAATAATAAACACCACCCCAATTTAAAGTACTGAGAGTTAGTTATTCTTTTTAAAGTTATTTTCACAAATATTTTAGACTACCCTATCAAGAATTCCTACATGTAGGGGTACAGAATGGTTCCTGACAAGAGTCTCGGAAAGTTTTGGCCAGATCTCGAAATCTCAGAAGCGTATTTGATGGGTCTCGTATATAGTCTCATCTTCGGGTGATTTTGTGTCTTGGAATCTCAAGGAAAAAAACAGGGTCTCATAGCAGCAAAGTCCCAAATCTATCATTCTATAACCCTACATTTACGTGTATGTGAACTTTATTACCTCTTAGCCAAATTTTTAAGGTGGAAAGCTAAGCACAGAAACTGAGAATAGAAACGTAGATACATGTAATTCAGAACCTAAAGTAAAAGAATGAAACTGTATGCATATTCTAGTTGCTGTTTTCCCTTCCTTTTCCTGTGATAATGAGTATGATTCATATATAACAAATTGTTTGTTATTTCCTTGTGCCTAGGTGCCTGCCTTCTGCTACTATTGTCCTTTGCCATTTTTGGTGATGCTGTCTCTCTGTCTAATGTATTAAGCCTTGAAGACCAAGTTAGATTTAAACAGACATTCTACGATGCAATGCCATTTAAAGACCTGGAAACAGCTGGCTATTCAGTATTAGGCTTAAAACATTATATGAAAGCTGAAGTACCACCAACACAGGTATGCAATGCAACGGAGAAGAGGAGTCAGTACATAATTTTGCCATGGTAGCAAAATTTCTGGATCTCAACAAACTGTGGTCCTGCAAGTATGGCTGAAAAAGAAACAATAAAATTGGCAGGTACATGTTTGATGTACCTCTAGATTGTTCTCAGGAACAAAACAGTAGCCCATACTTTTCTTTTATTGTTCTTCCATGGCAAGAAAGGATGATGACATCCAGAAATTTTTCTACCATGTTATTGTGACATCACACTTCCCCTCTCTAAGCAAAACAGACTTTGTTTAGATACATACATGCATACAGTACACCTTTATTTAAACCTTTGATTCACAGAGTAGCTTTAAAATCTTATAATATAAATCTTAAAATGTATTCTCTGAGAAAGGAAAATAATGATACAAAAGAAAGAAAGAAAGGAAGGAAGAGTGAATGAAGGAAAGGAAAAAAAAAAGAGAGAAAAAGCACAAAGAGAAAAGGTCAGGTTAATGGCCTGGGTGTCTAAAGACAGAGACTCCTCATTCCAATTTTTTGAGAAAGTCCTTCCACATTTTAATGTCTCTACGGAAACCTGAATTTAGGCAGGAGTGCCACCAAGGAAACTTGATACCCTTAGATGGGTAATGCATTGTAAGAAGTGGCGGCCAGGGGCAATTATTTTGCAAGCAAATGGTCGGGTTCCAATCAGGGACTGGAGCTCATATAAGGTAGCAGATTTCCTGTTGGCCCACCAGCAGATGGCTTCTTGAATGTAAGTGAGCTTACCTACGGGGAGGCGGGTAGGGGCATCCCAAGACTTGTGGGGAGATAAAGAGCAGGCATCAGAAAGATGATCTGTGCTACCACAGGAACAGCATCCAGATTTAGGGAGGCTCATGAAGGTAAAGCTGGATGTCATGTTCGCCCCAATTGATGGAAAGGTTATAGGAAGCCTGCCTTTTGAACTCCACATCAAAGATGTACCAAGCCATCCCGGGGAGTTTTTGTGCTGTTAAATCTACTCTACAAGAGGGATAGACAGAAACTATGACAGCGAGCCACCTATATCGATAGAGGTGATCTGGGGGCATGTAGAAGAGCCAGAGGAGAGAAAGGCAATAATCAGACCATGACTGCTCACCTTAAGGTTAAACCCTAATTCTCCTCTTGTTTGTGAGCAAATGTGAGGCAATTTGAAAGGAGAATCTTGAAGTTTATCATAACATTTGAGGCTATTTTTCAGGAACACCTTCATATTTACTGGAAGGCAGTACTTGCATCAGTCTGTTTAAATTTGTCATCAGTTAATAATACATATTTTTCTAATGATATCAGATGATGCAACATAGAATATCTTATCTCCACCAAGACTTCTCTTAGCTCAATGAGATTTCTTGACTAAATATGAGATGACATTTCCATAACTGTGAAGCAACTCTCCTACAAATGTAGAGACTTTGTGTACATGTACTTTTATCTAAAATGATGTCAAATTTTTATTAGGTACTACAGAAATTATTAGAAAGTCAAGTTTTGTTCCCACCTACACAAAACGTGACTGACTAGAGTCAACGAGTAGCATGTCTCTCATAAACATGGTTGAAATTACATTGTTCTCATCAGCTGCTTGATTCAAACTTGTTTTATGCATGTTGCATAATAAGTTCATATGGATGAAGAAATTTGAAGGCAGTTATCATTTATTAGAAGAAAGAATTTTTGGGACTATACCACCCATGAATTATGAATTACTGAGTTTGTTTAAAATGCAATATCTTGTAATGAAGACAGCAAAAATTGTTTTCTTCTGGTTTAAATGCAACCAGGCCATCTACCTGCGTAAGGCTTGATAAGTAAGCAGATAAAGCAGAATGAATGCTACATGTACTTTATTTTCAGTTTATGATGTAGGTGCTGTAGAAGTAGTAAAACCAGTCTCCACATTTGAACTGAAAAATTTTGTTTCCTGATAGTTCAAGTTCAGATTCAACCCCCCCGCCTCCTGCTTACTTCAGCCACCCACTTTGACATGTTTCTGAGCAAAACTCAAACTATATGTAGGTACATTTCTGTACATCTTGAGGTAGGTTCGGTCATGCTTGAGTAACCAAGTTTTGATTATGATACGCACAGTACACCACATGGTGTGAACAAGTTTCACTGTGAAACATGTTTCATTCATGATCAGACTACAGTCATGTGAAATGTATTTTGTGCCAGTGTGAACATTCTTGTTCTTGTCTTGAGTTCATCACCCATTTTTGTTCTTCTTTTGTTCTTCTTAACAGGATGTCTGCAGATTTGCTAACGAAAATGTAGACAGTAGCAATGTGAAGTCAATATTCTTTGCATCACTTATCAGTAACACTCTTGGGAATTGTAAGGTATGTGTGTACGTGTTTGTGTGTGTGTATTACACTGTAATTGCTTCTTGTGGACAGTAAAAGGAAAGGTCAGATGGAAATTTTGTCAGTTGTGAGGAATCCATGTTGGCTTAGCTGTCTCAGTGTCATTTTTTCCTCATTAATGATACCCTGTTTCACTTTGCACTTTTTCAGTTCACTGTCAGTGATGAAGGCAAGACAACTTTGTCAGAGGCAATTAAAGAGGGAACAGACATGCCAACTCTTTATTATTCAGTAGCAGCACAGAAGTATCTAGGGATCCAAGGTAACAGATCTGATTCTCAGTATGCCACCAATGTACCTGCTATGTAGCCACCAGTAATGCCTGCAATAAGAACATAAGCTGCTGGCAATAAGAAACATTGCAGGTCTTTACCCCTGGCAAGCCTATGAAGTTGAACTTGAGTCATCGTCACTGGCATGTCATGGTAAAGACTGGGATGGCATCTGTTCCCAGTGGCTTCTAAAGAGGTTGCAGTTGCCTTTTAACCAAAGAATTTTGTGCAAAGATTTAAAAGTTAGATTGGCCATGAATGTTGGCAGCTTTAACATGTCCTAGGAGTGAAAGGGTTTAGAGAGATGTCTGCCAAAGAAAAGTCCATCTAAAATGCAGTCTTATTGAAAATGAATTTTCTTGTTATTAGTTAATACTGGAGAGGTAATCAAGGCAGTGAAAGCAGCCATCAACTCAGATGAAGACAGTATTTCAGGGTAAGAAGAAATCCAGTAATTCTGGTAACGTCATTTATTTTCATGGCCATTTGAAAAAAATGAAAATAGCTGCTAAAATATTCCAGTTATCATGGTAGAGTAAAACTTCTAGGATAGAGACACCAAAGAGACAGAGCCAAGTGTCCACATTACAGAGGTGTCTGTATTACAGTCAAACCACCTTAATAAGGAAACCAAAGGAACAGTGCCTAGTGTCTGCATTACAGAGTTGTCTGTATTACAGTTGAACCTCTTAGTACAGACACCAAAGAGACAGAGTCAAGTGTCTGCATTACAGAGGTGTCTGTTTTACTGTCAAACCTCCTAGTACAGACACCACTGAGACAGAGCCAAGTGTCTGCATTACGGAGGTGTCTGTTTTAGAGTCAAACCTCCTTAATGCGGATACCAAGGGGACAGTGCCAAGTGTCCACATTACAGAGGTGTCTGTATTACAGTCAAACCACCTTAATAAGGAAACCAAATGGACAGTGCCTAGTGACTGCATTACAGAGGTGTCTGTATTACAGTTGAACCTCCTAGTACAGACACCACTGAGACAGAGTCAAGTGTCCACATCACAGAGGTGTCTGTATTACAGTTGAACCTCGTAGTACAGACACCACTGAGACAGAGTCAAGTGTCCACATCACAGAGGTGTCTGTATTACAGTTGAACCTCGTAGTACAGACACCACTGAGACAGAGTCAAGTGTCCACATTACAGAGGTGTCTGTATTACAGTTGAACCTCCTAGTACAGACACCACTGAGACAGAGTCAAGTGTCCACATTACAGAGGCATCTGTATTACAGTCAAACGTCCTGATACAGAAACCACCGAGACAGAGCCAAGTGTCCACATTAGAGGTCTCTGTATTACAGTCAGACCTCCTTAATATGGACACCAAAGGGACAGAACCAAGTGTCTGAATAACAGACATGACTGTATTACAGTCAAGCCTCCTTATACAGACACTAAAGAGACAGAGCCAAGTGTCCACATCACAGAGGTGTCTGTATTACAGTCAAACCTGATACAGACACTACACCAAAGGGACAGAGCTAAGTGTTCTCATTACAGCTCTGGTATCAGTATTACAGTCAAACCTCCATAATATGGACACCAAAGGACAGAACCACATCACAGAGGTGTCAGTATTACAATCAAACCTCCTTAATACGGATACCAAAGGACACGTCCAAGTGTCCACATGACAGAGGAGTCTGTTTTACAGTCAAATCTCCTGATACAGACACCAGATTCCAGTGTCTGCGTTACAGAGGTGTCTGTATTACAGTCAAACCTCCTTAATATGGACACGTGACAGAACCAAGTGTCCACATCACAGAGGTGTCTGTATTACAATTGAACCTCCTGATACAGACACCAATGAGACAGAGCTAAGTGTCCACATCACAGAGGTGTCTGTATTACAATCGAACCTCCTGATACAGACACCAATGAGACAGAGCTAAGTGTCCACATTACAGAGGTGTCTGTATTACAATCGAACCTCTTGATACAGACACCAATGAGACAGAGCTAAGTGTCCACATCACAGAGGTGTCTGTATTACAATCGAACCTCCTGATACAGACACCAATGAGACAGAGCTAAGTGTCCACATTACAGAGGTGTCTGTATTACAATCGAACCTCTTGATACAGACACCAATGAGACAGAGCTAAGTGTCCACATCACAGAGGTGTCTGTATTACAATCGAACCTCCTGATACAGACACCAATGAGACAGAGCTAAGTGTCCACATTACAGAGGTGTCTGTATTACAATCGAACCTCTTGATACAGACACCAATGAGACAGAGCTAAGTGTCCACATCACAGAGGAGTCTGTTTTACAGTTGGACCTCCTAATACAGACACCAAAGGGACAGAACCAAGTGTCCACATCACAGAGGTGTCTGTATTACAATCGAACCTCTTGATACAGACACCAATGAGACAGAGCCAAGTGTCCACATCACAGAGGAGTCTGTTTTACAGTTGAACCTCCTAATACAGACACCAAAGGGACAGAACCAAGTGTCCACATCACAGAGGTGTCTGTAAAAATACAGAGACCAATGAGACAGAGTCAAGTGTCTGCATTACAGAGGAGTCTGTGTTGCAGTCAAACCTCCTGGTACAGACACCAGTATGATAGAGCCAAGTGTCCACATTACAGAGGTGTATTACCGTCAAACCTCCTTAATACGGACACTGAAGGACGGAATCAAGTGTTCACATCACAGAGATGTGGAGGAAGGGATTGTGTGAAGCTTGGAATCATTGGGACTAAGGAATCTGTCTGTAATAAATAGGTGTCCATACTGTAGTATTTTCCATAAGATAGGTGTGACTGTATATTTTATAGCCTTCAAAGGCAACAGTTATTAGTACATGTATATTTTGTTTGCAAGTGAGTCAATGAAAGTAACACAGAAAAGGGTTTTTATTAATTTGTCCAAAACACACTGAATGTAACTGGAAGAAATTAGTCTAACAATATTTTATTAGGTTTTTCAAGTTAAGTTGTCTTCAGTCATTGCAAAAACAACCAAAAATACATATTATATTATTTTGCACTTTCATGTCACATTAGTTTTTATGTACTTCTTAGCTGAACAGGAACATTTTCATAAGAATAATTATTATTCTCATTGTTGAAAATGCATGTGCACTACAATGTACGTATCTTTGGATCTGTCCACATCTTATTACAGTGCCCCTTTGCAGTTTTCTGGAGTGGAACGTACTTATATACATGTACATGTATCATTGTATTTTAGGGCGGCATATGCCATGCTCATTGCTGCAAGGTTACCAAAGGACACTGATGTTTCTTTCATCACTGAAATGATTGAGGTATGTAATTAGCCTTTTAAATTATCAGATTGATAATATTATTTTATTTTGCAAGTAATGATGACAGTTATAGTAAATATTATTTAAAAGTAGTGTCATTAGAAATTGCAGCTACATGAAAGTTCCCCTCAGTGAAATGGCAAGGGCTGGAAGACTATTTACCATTGCGGATATGGTGCATAACTGTATTGAATTGCACATTTTTCCTGTAACATCACAATGCTTGTTTTCTATGCTGTTGTTCATGCATTTTATACACTCATTAGTGCTGATAGGAGAATTTATAAACAGTCGAGATACAATGTGATACAACTCACTTTGACTCTGAAGATGACTACCGTACAGGTTGTCGAAACGTCAGTCACTGTCAACAACAACAGTCCTATTCAGGACTACGTTCATCCGGACGATTAAACTCAACCTACTTTTTACATCCTCTCTTTGATAACCTGCTTTCCTTTATTCTAGCAACATTAATTTTATCTTTGATAAGACTGTTGTATTATAATGGGGAATCTATTATTAATTGACCATTAGCTGGTCCTTTTAATTTTTTTTATCTTTTGTTTTGTAGGACACCGTGGCTCAAGCTGATGAAGTTGATAACAAATATCTACAGGTACAACTGTTGATAATAATAATAATGATAATAGGCTTTATTTAAGGAGGGTAAAACACTTAACAGTAGTCCCAAGACACTGATGACTCTGTTGCCCTCAGACTGATGACTCTGTGGCCCTCAAAATTGATTGTATTTGATTCTATGGCCTTTATACAATAATGACTGTACGGCCTTTGTGATTTGTTATACCCACATTTTAATCAAACTGAATTGAATCTGACATTTGAGACATGCTTCCCGTCCCAGCTGATACAGTTTATTAGTCATGGTCTGACTTTATCCTGGGTTGAAATTTTTTCCTTTGTTTTTAAGTATATGTAATAAAATATTGTAATCGATGGTTTCACTCAGTTAAATAACACAAAGAAATTTTACAAATTTTATGCTGGCCAGTTATTGAAATTTAAACAAAATCTATGTACTTGAACAATTTTTACATTGTACTCAATGTTTTGCTGTCCAATTTCTGTACAGTTTGAAGGTGGACTTTTGGTGACCGCAAAAGTTGTTTATGCTACATATGCTTTGTCAGAGTTCCTGGGAAAAGCTCCAGCTATCACTGAAGTATGTGGCATTTATTCATTTTAATACATTTGCTTTGTTTTGTTTTGTTTGTGTACTGGTTGTGGCTACTGTCTCCCTATGTTGTAAGTACATGTAAGTCTGTGTATTTCCTCAGTAATACCAATTTAAATTAAGATAATTATGGTTGTTGTAGTGGTCATCGCAATCATTTAAGCAATTGCAAATAACCCGAAAAAAATTGTGGGACTTCAATGGGTTTTGAACCCATGGCCTCTGTGTTAGTGCTGCAGTTCTCTACCAATTGAGCTATGAAGACCCATACATTGGGAGTGGGCCTATTTGTTGAGTTCATCTTAACCCATGAAAAGAGTGAAACATAGAATGTAGATAAAGATGGTGTGAACTGCGGAAATACAAATTTATATGAAGATATGATTGTCGCAGTGGTCATTGAAATTTATTTGCAATTTGTTAAATTGCAATGGCTACTGCAACAATCATATCTTCATTTAAATTTGTAGTTCCGCAGTTCACATCATCTTCATTCTATAAATCCAATATCATGATAAAACTTGGCCTGGTTGTTGCAGTACTTTATTTTGGCAGTCAAAAAATGCTTTAAGTGACTAGTTTCAGAGAGTGTTTTATTGCAGAATGTCCAGTTTACTTACTGAATGATGTGGCAAGTGCAGTTTTTTTGCAAGTTAACATTTTTTCCTCCAGGGTGAGGCTTTGCTTTGAGGTGGTCAGTTTAGATTTGTTTCTCATTAAGTCTCGTTGTTTGCCTTTCAGGAACAAGTGATCAAGTTTGCAAACTATCTTCTAACAAGAAAACATGTTCAATCTGTGAAAGACACTGCAACACTACTTATAGCTCTTGACCAGCTAGGCAACAATCCAGTGAGTTACATTCTGTTTGTCCTTGTACACGTACATTCATCCACCACGATGTTAGTTTTGTTTATTATACTCGAAATGCCTCAATTAGCTTCCACCTTAAAATTCATTGCTCAGAAATTTTGGTAATCCAGGGTAGTAATAAATTCCAGTATTTACAGTGCTGTCAATTCCCCCATAGCGACTACTTCTCGTAACCGACTGCCTCCCTTAAACCTTTAAGTCTGGATAGTGACCAACATCAATTTTCTCCTAACAATATCCCTATGTTGCCAAGAGAAATGGTTATGAGAGTTAATAATTATAATGATCACTAAAGAGAAAAATAATGCTTTGATCTGCTATCAAATTCTTTCAACTAATTCATTAAGGAAATGTATGGATATCAGGTTGGAGAATTTGTAAGTGGATGTCAGGTCTTAAAGGGTTAAGCAACCACTTTGAAAATAATGTTTTTGTTTCTCAGTCAAATACTGTTTATAAAACTCTCTTGTAAGCGACCAGTAGTTAAATTTCTTAGATGACGGTGACCACTTTTTAGGCCAGAAATTTGACATGTTTTGTTTTCTCTTTCTGGTACATGTAAGCAACCACATGCACCCAGCTTGATCATGAATGATTGTAAGAAAATCATTGCTCGAATGTCACTAAAGTTCAGTTATTGATAGTGCTGACCAAGCATGCTGACAGATTATAGCAGTCTACTTACCAAAAAAATGGCTGTTATTTGATCTGTAGGTAAAAAAGTTGATTGTAATGCTGGAGCAAAATGTTATGTACATGTACATGTACAAAGTTTTGACAGTTCCAAGTGCTATTCGATATAATAAGATTATTCCATTTGTCTATGTGTATGTTAATCAGCTCGGTTTGAGCTTATTTTCAACCACTTTGTTGGGCAACAAGCTAAGAGAGTGTTTACTGACAAGAGAGTTGACTGTATATTAATTTAATCTTAATTTTCCTGTTTTCAGTTCCATGTTCCGGTTGTAGTGCAGCTTTATGGGTCCCCAGTTGTTTCTGATGATCAAAAGATGGTCAAGGTTTGTGAGAGAATTATGTTTTTAGCTCTAAAGAAACATGCACAACGTACTCTGAAACTCCTACATTTTGGCTGAAGGCCCTATTTCCTCTTGTCTGTACATGTACATGTAGATAATCACTTTAACATTTTAATTTTGTCTTATTTTGAGCTTAAGATAAAAAAAAATTACAATTATAAAAATATAATGTTCAATGAATACTTGCAAGGGAAGGAATTTTGAAGTCTGATTCTCTTCTTCTTGCCAGTGGCAATGTGAAGTTTCATCTAACTTGAATATTTTATTCCAGGTCCGTGTAACTAATGTCATGGACAAAGCACTTGGTAAAATGACAGTGACAGCCACATCAGCTGAAGACACTGAAGGTACAACAGTACTGAGCAACAAAGTGTTCACTGCTGGACCGGAAGAGTAAGTGCACTCAGTTATTTCGAAGCAAACATAAAATACTCAGTTAATTCAGCAGTCAAAATAGGAGGGAATGGCAGCAGAATGAAGTTATATTTTTCATGGTAGAACTTAGTACATTACAGATACATTCAATTTTTTTCTGCACTTGTGGATTGTTAAGACTGCTCTAATTAAAAACTTTGGTAATAGTTCTTTGAATATTGTTGTTTTTAGACAAAATTAGTTGCTTTATTTTTGTACAAAGTTAAAATAGATCAGTCTCTTAGCAGCTAACATTCTGACAGACCCTTGCTTACTAATATTCGTAAATACAAATTTACTTGTTTCGTTGGTAATGTACCAATTATATTGATGTACTGCAATGTGCCTTTAAGTTTGCATTTGTGGCACACATTTTCCCAGAATGCATATAAGGCTAATTAATTTTGCTCACACAAGCTTGTAGTAATAAAAAGAATAATATTACAGATGTACAAATCACTTACTTTTGCTCGGTAAGGAATGGGCAGATTATTCATACATGTAAAGGAATAATAACCCAAATTAATACATGTAGCTACAAACCTAACAAATAATGTAGAAAGCATAGATTTTTTTCTCTAAACTAATGATAATTCCAATTAAAATGAACATTGCTTTTTTGCATGAGTTGATTAAACTATCAACTTAAAGTTACAAGTTATAAACCATTCCACTGTAGTGACTTCATTGTTATTGAGACTGATCTTGGGCGAGGCATGTTTGCAGCTCATAGGTAAAGTACATTGTAATTTCTCAAATCAAGTTTAAAAAAAGTAAAATGAGATGTCTAAATTGTAGTTTTTAGGAGCAGTGTAAACCTTTTAGCATTGAAAAGATGTCATAAATTTTAATATATTAAAAAATTAAAACTGTGGGAATATTACCTTTAAGAGTAACACTAAAAATCTAAAATAAAATGATAAAACAATATTTTATTAAAATAATGAACTAGTAAGGAAGTGTAAAAAGTTTCAAACAATTGAATTTTGCAATAGTAGTATGTCAGTCTTCAATAACAATCAATCATTTATAGTAAACCTCAAGCAAGGCAATAAGTGATTATGACAAATATAAACATTAAAACTTGTGTTTTGCCTTTAAATGGACTCATTGTGCAGTTGTAATCCACTGACAACCCTTTTCTGATACATATTTTTTCAACTACATTGGACTGTACTGTAGGACAACTTGTCAGTTTTCCATGATATGATTGTAGGCTGTTTGTTTTTTAGCTATGAGTTAAATTTCATGACATCAAAACCTGGCCCTGGAGTATACACTGTCAATGTTGGGTAAGTCAAGTTTGCATTTTGATATAATAAATCATCATAACCTTTTTCATAATCTCCGTCATCTTCATCAGACTCCATCATCACCTTGATCATCATCATCATTATCATTATCCTGACCATCAGCTTTATCTTTATCATCTCATTACCATCACTGTCATCTTTTTTCAATTGTGGACAGGCTGGAATGCTGGCCATATTCATTGTTGTTGTTATTGTTGTTTATCAACTGGCTTGACAGCGATTGCTTGTGGTCAGTCATCTTAATTTTTGGCATGTATTGAAGCAGCAAATTATGTGTTTGTTATCAGCGTGAAACCACACAAAGAGGACAAGCGTCTTATTGGCACCACTTCTGGCCAGGTAAAACTAATTCACTCATTATTGCTGTGCTTAACAACAACTTGTGTAGTGGCAGCTTGCTTCTCTTTCTTCCAGTGATATATTAATATAAGGCTTTTGTTTGGTTAAAATTACATTTCTGAGGAACTGCTCTCTTTTGGCAGGTTAAAGTTAAAGTTGTCACAAAAGTAAATGTTGAAGATGTAGAATTATCAGTTGTGGACAAAGAGCAAAACATCAAATCCAAGACTACTAGGTAACTGTCCATTTCTTCTTTCTAAAAACGTTTGTTTTGCAGTAAATTGCTCTGTGAGCGATGGGGATAAAAGTTTCAGGATTATTGAAACATTGCAATAAGTTTCCCCTTATCTTGCAAACAACAGTCATCTCCCTTGGTTGTTGTTCAAGGGAAAATTAGCTTGCAGGGTTTTCAGTAAGATTTCAAGTTGCTGGGTATGTGCAAATGATAGGCCAGGAATTGAAAAGGTAGGACGATTTGTTGGTTCTATTTTCCTTTTGTTTCCTTTAACCCTTTAAACCCTAAAATCAAAATTTGTTTTCTCGTATGTTGCCCGTATTCATTTCCTACAGAAGTAGTGGGGAGAAGTTGATAAAATATCAAGCAAATTCATCTTGTGTGATCATGTCTGTAATTCTCATGACCACTCTGTTTTACAAAGCATTGATATTACAAGGAGAAATTTGATGCTGATCACTCTTATGGCCTAAAGGGTTAAAATGAGGCCAGAAACCTACTCATAGTAGCTGGGGAAAATCCCCCGTCCCCACCCCATAGTAATAAGGTTAAAAGTAAAGGTAAAGCAACCGTGATATTTCACATCAATAATTTGTGGCAGTAATTCAACTGATAAACTTGAGCTCAATGGTGTGCTCATTTTAATCCCTCTCTCCATCAGTGTGTCATTTTAAAGTTCAGGAGCTTAGTGTCCATATAAGCACATATTCCTGTGGGTACAGCTGATTATAACCTGGAAAAAAATAGGTGCACTCAACTGAGATTAGGACTATATGTGTGCAAAATGTAGCTGAAGTCATTGAAATTAGTAAGTGATGGTAGACATCTTGCTCCTTGCTTGTAACCTTCTTGATGGTGTCACGTTTTTACCTTTTTCCTTGTGAGCACCGTACCTTAGCAATAACAATATAGATAGGAAAAATAGACAACTAACTACTGTGTTTTCCCTCTTACTGAAAACGCAGGAAATGGAATTTCCAAGACCTTAAATTTCAGACCTTCCTATTTTGGAGTGCCTTTGGGGCAGTAAATTTTTACTTGTGCATACACCTTTAAAATCTCTTGCTACGCCCCTGGGGGTATTGAAAGCAAGTTAAAGCTCTACCGAAAAGAGCAAAGTTGAAACAAGGATGTTATGTCACCAGGAATAGAACTTGGGACCTCTCGCACCAAAGACTGCGTTCTAACCAACTCCGTACCAACTTTGCTCCTGATAGGTGCAGCCCTGTGTAAGGTCCCAGCATCACTCTTATTTCAGGTTCATTACTTTACCTTTTACGTATTGTTTTTCAGTGTCAAGTACCCTGCAGCCATTACCACCGTTATAGAAGCTGACTACCACCAGAAAGTTGTGATGAAATTCTCCTTGAAGAGTGTCTCCTCTGGGGATCTGTTTACTCCTCATCAGGCATTTGTTAGACTCACCAATGAGAAAACCAAACAAGAGATCTTCTTTGTTGCTGAACCAGAGCCAAGTAAAGTGTTCAAGTTTGATCTGGTGAGTGAGAGCTAGCTCTGCCATTTATACATTATTTTCAGCTTCTATTTAACAATAAATTATTATTCCACGAGTATGTGTTGAATATGAGATGGTAGATAGCTAGCGAGGCACATAGTACCAAGTTGGCTATAATCATCTCATATCCAACAAGGGCGAGTGGAATAATATTTTACTGTTTTGTTAAAAACAGCCACAAAATTCCAAGAATTCCTCCATGCATCGTTTTTTCCCTGCTTTCTCTTTTGTTAATATTCAGGATGTTGGTGCCACTGCAAAGGATTCTTTTGGTTCCCTTTCTGGAAAATACAAGATGGTGAGTGACAAAGGGATTTAAATAGTAGAATCCTGCAATCCAATAGAACTTTGTGAACAAAGGCACATAACTACTGAGTAATGATTTGGGTGAAATTATCTACCCAAGCCTCAACCTTGTTTTTGTTGTTTGTGATTGCTGTTATGTAATTCAGAAAGGGTCTGTACCTACTGGTATTACAGCCTATGTCATAAACGTAATTGAAATTCAATTAGTAACATCTGTGAAGCAGCACTGATATCCTTGTTCTGGGCCCCAAAGGACTAAATGAATTACCAGAAGTGCATTTTGAATTTCCCTTCATCTTGATTGGAAAATCGACAATGGGTTTTTGAACAGGCCAACCATGTCTCATACTCTAATCCTGGTACACAGCTGGGAACCCAGAAAAAGGATTTCAGGGCTGTTTTGCAGACAGACTTAGCCTGTGTACAGCCACCCCCGCCCCTAAGAAAAAAGTTGAAAGGGCCCCTTCTCTGATGTTTTCTGAGGGAAGGGGGTGGCTATACACAGGCTAGACAGACGTTAACCAGAGTTTAGCTGTGATGCAGGTAATGGTATTGGTGGTATTAAGGAATCATAAAGTTCTAGTTTGGTAGACGTAGTTAGCTCCTGTACTTCATTGTGAAGCAACTCATCACTTTGAAGGGCCCAAAAATGACATTAATTTCTGTTTCTTGTAAAGTAATGAAAAGCAAATACAGTGGTACCTTGTAATGGCACTGCCAAAGACATCTTATGTAAAATATAACACCATGGGATTTCCTTCAAAGACTTGAATGTTCAATCTATCTATTCACTTTTGTAGTATAAGTGAAAATTCTAGTTATAAAGATGGTTCAAGATTATTTTTTAAAGATCTTTTTTATGATTTTCTGATTTCATCTCTTTTCAAGGATCTTATTGTTGGTGATGCTGTGATTCAAAATCCTTTTGAGTGGAAAGTGGTGAGTGTAATTTTTTTCTGTTTGATGCTCGTGTGTTTTAAGTTACTGTTACAAAATCAACTAATGTGTTAATAAAGGTTTTAAAGGCTTGTTTAGTGGAAAGAACACTTAACTTATCCAGCTAGTTTACAGGCACTCCACTCAGATACTTAGAAACAAATAATTCAAATACAACGTAACAGGATTTATAACCCCAGCTGGCAGGAGGCAACCAGTTCGCTATTTACAAGCGTCGCAAAGGATTTGAACTCGGGACGACCGAGAACAAATCCAGCAAGTGGCCAGAGTGGGACTCGAACCCGGGACTGCTGGATTGCAAGTCCAACGCGCTGACCACTCGGCGACACTGCTTCCTTCAATCAATGTTTTGATTTCTTTGTTTTAGGGTGTTCTGTCATTAACCTTTGCTGAGGACCCAGCCAAATCAACCAAGGACAAGGAACATATGTACAATGCCAGACCTGAAATTGAGGTACTGACAAGCCTGTCTTTTAATTTGTTTGGGTGTTTGAATTAAAAAATGCACCTGCCATGTTTTGTTAGAACTCCTGGCATGCTTTTCTTGAGTTACAGAACTTAGTCTTTTACAAGTTTTATGTTGGCTTAAAGTGGCTACAATGGAAGTAAAAAGAACTTGAGACACGGTGCAGTGCCAGATCCAGACCTTGAGATAAGGGGGAGGCCCAGTCATCCAGATCCTTACATGAAGGGGGGGGGGGGGTCCCCCAAATTTTTTCAATATTGAATTCAGTATTAAGACTAGGATCATGGGTGGGCAAAACTGCAGAGGTTTAATTGACAACAAATTACATTTATTTAACTTGAAATACAGCTTGTCTCAATTTCTATGAAGGTGACAGTATCACGCTACAAAAGCAGGACAAATGCAGTTTGCAGAGTTATTTTTTAAATTTTATATATTTTGAACTTGAAATTTGTGTTGCCAAGTGAATCAGTTCATTATGCTCCGTCTGTTGTTGTTCTCAAGACTCAGAACCATCTGAATCTTGAATTACATTTTGAAAATATATTTCATGTTGTTGTCTTTAATTTAGCACATGTTCCGTGTCCCAGAGAAGCGCCCCCCAAAGGCCGTCTCAACAGCCTTCACATTCCTCATCTTTGTCCCACTTGCTATCATGCTTATTGTGGTAAGTTTTCTTTGCCTTTATAACAGTTTTTTTGATGGATAATTTTATTTAAGTTTACACTTGCTTTAGTGTTGAATTGCTTTCCTTCGTGTTTAGCTGCACAAATCTCATGTCACTCGATGAAGGGAAAAGCAATTGAAGGCTTCACAAACGGAGGGGGGGGGGGAGAGAATATTGGCATGAGCTCTTGACACAAGGATTTCTGGGATTATTTGGGTCCAGTAGCGTTTTTAGGCATGATTGGTCAATGGTATCCAAGGGCAATTATAAATACAGTCATAGCTTACTATTGTCCACCCAAACGATAACCAAAAAAACTGCGATCAGTCTCCCTTTTCCTTCAGATTTAGTGAGGGTAGTGCGCGCCTTTAGCCACGTGCGTTGTCATTTTCCTGTATTGTGCGTTTTGCTCGACAGACCAACAAAAAAGAGATACACCTATTTGTCAAAAAAACCAAATATCTTCATTCTACGGTCAACTCTCTCTAAGACGGACACCTTTGGGACCGGCACTAATTGTCCGTCTTAGAGAGGTGTCCATCTTATAGAGAGTCAAATAAAGGGAGTAAAGAAAGGCAGGGACCAACTCTAGGTGTCCGTTTTACAGAGGTGTCCGTCTTATAGAGGTGTCCGTTAAGAGAGAGTCGACTGTAATAATGTATTGGACAATAGTAACAGAGTGGCTCCCCCGTTTAACAAACCCCTATACAATAATGAACAAGTGGTTATAATGAACAACATTCTTAACGCTACTTGTAGTTCCTGTATGTAACATACCCTTGCCACAGGCCTGCTTTCCATTCACCCAAAATTCCGGAAATTTTGGTTAGAAATCAGATGGAATAAACCATTCCAGTTTGGTCCAACCGAAATATTTCGGTTTGGTCCCTTTCTATTTGACAAAGGTGTTGTCCCCAGTGCAGCTCTTGTGTTTCCTGCATAACCCAAACGCCCGGTGGCTTGGGGGTTAGGTCTGTGCAACCGGAATGTACCGTTCCATTGGGCACGTGGAATTTCCGAAATTTCAAACCGGAATTTTTGTTGAATGGAAAGCGCTCTAGGTTTCTTAACAATGTAACTTAGGCACAGGCTTGCTATAACAGTATCGCCTTTTTTGCAAGTAATACAAGAGTGTGCTTACATATGTAAATGCTACATATAGTACGCTGTTTAAAAAATACTAAGAATTTGCACCAATCTGTGTAATGTGTTGCTAGTTTGTGATGTTTTTCTTCAGTTGAGCTAGTGACTCAAGATGGTGCTACAGAGATGCTCTTATCTCCACCGAGACTTCTCAATTTAATGAGATTTCTTGACTAAAAATAAGATTACATTATATTGGTCCAACCACAGTTGTGTACATTTAAGAGATTTCAACAGCTTAGAAGGTCTGTCGTTGAATTCTGTGTGACCATCAAAATCAAAGCTATCAAGCACTACTTTCTTGTAGCACTGATTGTTATGCCACACAAGGTGGTTGAATTTTTTGACGTTTGTGCTTGAAGTGACCAGAACTCCTGAAAATAAAACGTTAAGGAATGTAATGCACCGTATGGAATCCCAGGCCATTGTCTGCTACAGTCCCGCAGTCCTCAAAAGTTACTTAATAAATGGCAAAAATAAAAACTGCGTACATGTATTTACAAGTATAGGGATTTTCCATTCGAAATATGTGATTCTTCTTTCTTTAAGCCTTTGCATGAAATTAAGAGTTCTAACTAATTTAATACATTTGTAAACTACGGGACTGTGGAAATATTCCTTGTCCTTTAATAACTGATTTCAATAAATTTGTAGACGACAATGAGGACTCCAAACCTGCAGGATCGATGCAGGAGCAGTTGTCAGACCACTTGACTGCAGGAGGGGTCGTTCATGTACTTGATTTAAATAGATTTATTGACTACAATACACCGTGACTGTGGGAGTGTCAATTAAAAACACATTTTCTTTTTATCACTGCGGGACAATTGCCTTTTATCGCTTCTAGGTAACCAGGTGTTCCGAAGTTGCTCCTGGAT